GCTTTTAAACACCAACATAATATGTTGATCAGCATATTCAGAAAAAAGTATACTACCAATCTTTTTACATTTTTTTTTTCAATTTTAATTATTTATTTGTTTTGGTGTATGATTTTATTATTATTTTTTAATTTTTTGTAATCGTCCGATCGCGAAAGCCCAACAATCTGAACAACTTCCGATATCTCGTTCAACTATCGCAAACTTTAATAACCAATCGAGGAAAGCCTTCACAAAATGAATTACTCCTCACTATAGGAAATCATTGCACCGAAAACACTAAATGTCGAAATAAATAATCTATTAATCACTTCGATGTCATATATCTTCTGAGTGAGAGAATAATTTTCTGATAGATTGCACAATGCATGGATTAAATTCTCTCCACGTGCGTAGCGATAATTACACTGTACAATTCACTAAGTATTACAAAGTAAGTATGTAATACGTCGAGATTACGTATATACGTAAGTACTTTGTATTTGTGCAAATGCGGGCGGTTATTTACGCATTAATATCATATTGTGTTCCGTGTAAATATATTATCAAACGATATATATGGTGGCAGTGTGCATTTCTTAATTATAGGTGTTGCCAATTGCCAATTTATTGACGTTTATCAAGTAAAACTATGTATCTAAAAATAACAACTGACAGATTGAGTTGTTAGTAAATTATCTTTGCCATGTTTTAGCCGGCGGTCGTTTGTTTGTATTGTTATGTTATGTCCGTGTTTCATCTGCCTGCCTGTCTGTCTACCTGGCTGTCTGACTTGTCAGGTAAATGTTTGTACAGGCGTGGATATTGTTGCCATGGATACAGAAATTTTGTGAATGAGTTTTATTTATTTATTTCAGATAGCCTGAAATCGAAACTCGATAAAATTTGAACAAAATCCAATCTGTAAAATTATGGTAAAAATGTGGACCCGGTTGAAATGGAATGAAACTACATTAACAACGCGTACAGCTAAGAATTAAAGATCAAGAAATGGTTTGCTTAATTTCAAAATTTACTTAATTTGTGAATGGGCCCTCAAAGGAAGATCAGTTTCATACCGACGTTGACAAGTTTGCTGGTGATTTTAATTCCGATGATATCAAAAACAATTTTATCCACTTCGACTGTGATCGCCGAGAAACTGAAATTACATATGCGAAAGTCAAGAAAACTATGACGGCATTTTGATGGAGTTGTTAAATTGCAATCGCGAATACTATGAAATATTAGTGAAATTGTTCGATAAAATACTCATCTTTGTTGTTTTTCCTGAATGATTGTATAACTTCAATAAGAAGGGGGATAGAGGTGCTATTAATGTTTATAGAGGAATTATTGTTACTGCTGGGTAAAACATTATTGACGTCATAAATATTAATGGAAGTTGTTTTTCATATAATACAAAATGGAAATGCTACTTTAATGTTTATCTAGTTACTATGATGTGCACACTCATTCGAAGTTAGGTGATACATTTTTGAAAGAAGGTTCCAAATTAAGCAAGATCAATTTACCCGATTTAGAGCAAGAGGTAATTTTAATAATGTATGTAGAGTGAAAATAATTAATAGCAAAACTCAATACCAAGCTGCTCCAACCTAGCCTAAAAGTTGCGCAGTCCGATGAGACTAATTTTATAGAACTAAGCATAGGTGCTTAAATTCACAGGGTAGCAATTATCGACAAAAGCTCCTTTCCACATAGTGCCAAAACGAATGGAAAGCCAATAAGATTCATTTGGATTTAAACATATAAATCAGAGATATTTGAAGCCCACTTGATAATTATTTATTCACAGACCCGGTTTGATGATATAACTACACACTAGATCTAAAACAAATGGCATAACAATATATAATATAATGAATGCCAATCACAATTTCAAGTGCCATGTAATTTTCACAAAACCGTCACTGCTTGATAATAAATGGCTAATCTGTACTTATCTTGTAGCCGGTTAATTGTGTAAAACATGATACAAACATGAAAATGAAGTCACCGAAGCAATAATCGGTGTTAGTTATGTGTAGAACCATGGTATAGCTTTAATTTACAGAGTATGGGTCATGAAAAACAGACATGCTGACAACAAACAAATACAGCAAGAATGGCATATATGGGTATGGTAATATAAGACACATTTAATTAGCTTGATTTTGATACCTCTGAAGCCTTGTTCTATATCATTATTTTATGTGTAATAAAACCCAATGAAATTCGTAATTAATCAACACATAATTCATTATTATAAAAATCATTGCCCCGGGAACACTAAATATCGAAACAAATAACATATTAATTACTTCGATGTTATATATTTATGGATGAGTGAAACATTTTCCAAGGCATTACACAATGCATGGATTACATTCCTTCTATATGCGCTGTGATATTTACGTTATCAATTCTATAACTTATATAAACCTCCGACAAATATGATGCAGTGGAAAACGCAACTGCTCTGGAGTAACACGTCGTTCACTGTCACAGTAAGTATGACAAATATTATGTAAACCTACGTACCATCATATACGAATACGTTTTATTTTCGTTTTTTTTTATTTAGACACAAATCCCATAATGTCTATGATTGCCATTTGATATTTAGTGTTCGTCAGTATTGTAACTGCTACAACTTTTGTTTTTATTGCAGTACAAATATTGTGTGGGTTGTACGAACGAAGCAATATGAACTCTAAATATCTTGCTGTCATTCTTGTAACCGCAATTATTATTGCAGAGACAGTCACTGTAGAAGGAACATCGGTAAGTTGTTTTCTAATTATCACATTGCAAATTAAATAACTGAATGAATTGTGTTGTCAGGAAAAACTAGTTTTACTTGTTTTTTGCTAGGATCAACTTATATTTTGGATAAGAGTAATGAAGTTGTTCTAGTATCAGAATGTTATAACATGTATATGTCAATAGCTGCTTAATATCTCCACTGAAAATGTGTGAATAGAATTTATTAACATATAATTTGATTTACTCCGAAATGAAATTAGCACTTTCCAAGCATTTAATAGAGATCAAAATGTGAATCATTGATTGACAACCATTTTGAAGACTTGCATGGATGTTCAAAACATATGTTGTTCCCTTCAATCTTGCCAACTAGTAAACTAACTACGAAATATTAGTGTACATATATTTATGTACTGAAATTTAATCGACATCGTCAAAAACGTCAGACAATGTAATTTGAACAATATGAAATCGAAACGATTACCACGTTCGGACAAAAAATAAAAGTTTGGAAAAAATGAAAATTATATTTTCCCAACAATTATCGCTAATTCTGATCATCAAATTACTACCGGTATGTTGAAACTTAACCTTATGATGTTATGGCGGTTCGAGCAAAATTGAAAGGTTATAACATGAAATATAACAATAATAACAATAACATACGACTTTTTTATTCCATGCGACCGAGCACCATTTTGAGATATGAAGCGATATTTTCACCATTTTGGCCATTTTCCATGACATTTTTGGGTCGATTCATTATATTTTGTTTCATGTTCGTAACCCTAATGACATTAACTCGTAATAATGACATTCAATGCATCTCGTTTTTATGACATATTTTTATTTTATTTCAATTTATCAGTACAATCGTCCCAAACATCGACGTAGCAAGGGTCGATCATTTGATCTGAACCAGGTTGAGGATTCTGTCGAGGAAGAAAGGCGGGAATTCGACAACTCTGCGCGGAGATATGTAGAAAATGAAGAGGAACGGCAAATCGATTAATGTTATATAATAAAAACACAAAATGATGTCATAAACAATGAGTTGATATGGTGAAATGTTGATATTAAAAATGTTTTACATCAAGAAAAACTTTTATTATGACCTCATTTTTGAAGAAATACTTGCATAGCTTATGCTGCGTTAGTTTGGGTGTATTTGTGTGCATTGAGAATGAAAATCGAATGTCACTATGAGGTTATGGGAGTATAGCAATCCCGTGAACACACACTGCCGCATAACATAATGGCTCACGTAAAGATGGGAGTGGATATCTGCGAGTGGATATTCGCATAAAAAGGGTGAAACGGATAATACAATACATATTTAGAGCTCTGGTCGATTGTGTAAGCCAAAATAACATAATTTTGCATTTCGTTAACGTGTTGTTTATAGTCCTAAAAATAAAATCATATTTGAATCACACAATGAGAAAGACCGCAACTGCTTTGTTATACTATCATGCCAGCTAAAAGATTGCCTGGTACAAGTATTTGTACAGGAATTGTAACGAGTATCTTCAGAAAGTATTATTGCATGTGCCATTGCATTGAAAGTGTATGGTTCAGTTAATACATACTTTTGCCATGGTAACATGAAGAGCTGTGTCGCATTAAAAATGTCCAATTACACGTGACACCCAGTTTGGGTAATAATGCTATATTTCCATTTTGCGGTTACTATTTGTATTTCACTACGTTATAACGGAAATTTCCGTTTTCAACTAAGATATTGCTTGTCAGCGCAAAAACAATGCCGAAATTAAAATGATAAATTTAACAACATTTCCCAGTTTATTACAACTGCATCCGTGTGGTTTGATCAAGTCACCGATTGAAGTAATTGGAAGTAACGATTGATTGATTTAATAATAAATCATGCAATTCATAACGGCAAATTTCAGCGGTGTTCAAAGCTTTAGTTATTTCAGCGATATTCTAAATTCAACAGTATTATCGTAAATATCACAGTTCATACGACATAAACAAGAGGAGAAAAATACAGATGTGGTGCATTTTCACCAATCCTGCTCACATGTGCAAAATCATTATAACTAGATATTAGGAGATTGACTATATTAAGAAAGTCTGATATAAAACTGGAAAACATTACTTGTATTAAAACAGATTATATAGTATAATTTTCATATGTTTGAGTAATTGAATTATTTGTTGTGAAAACTGAGCAGGTGACATTGCGTTTTGATTTTCATGTCGAAGTTTAAGTAATATTAGTATAAAGATAATACATACAGAAGTACAAAACTCTGCAAGTACCTTAAGTAAGTACATGCTTCCAAGTGTCGGTTTTGTACTTGTAACATATTGGTCGAGTGTGTGGTGTTGCGGGATCTGTACTTTCAGGAATTGTAAATATGTTGTAAATATGTCATTATATACAT